TTTCTTCTTTACACCAACATCAAGAAATAATCAGAACCACTTGCTACCAAGTGGGTAAGATATTTCAACCGAACAGAGCCAACAAAGCTTAATAATATAAAAATAGCAGCGATGTGAGAAGATTAGGGACTTAGGTTTAGAGAAGGAAGAAAGACGATGACAACGTGCGTGAGTTTTGTCCATTTTTGTATATTATATTTTGTATTTTTTATAAAAAAAAAAACTCAACCCATGAGCTAGTTCGTTTGACCCTCGGATTGACTCGTTTTTTTTCGAGCTGGCTCGAGTCGAGTTGACAGCTCATTTTTGCCAACCCAACTCTTCTCATTTTTTACGGATTACGAGCCAACCTAATAGATTGACTCATTTTTGCCAACCCTAATTATCAACACCTACATAAAACTTATTATTTACGGTGACTCTCTTTGTTGAGCTTATGTTTATATCTTTGCTTCACTATCTCCGTTACAATATTATATTTCACCCTTAAGTGAAATAGCGCTAGATCTATCACTGCATACAGTTAGATTTTATTTTATTTTTCCGGAGATCACATGCAATTCAATTTCATATTGCCATTCTGGAGAAACAAGGTCGTCAATGATCGCATTAAGGGTGTATATGATAATCTTTCCAATTACTTTTTTTTCAATTTTTGTTCCTGGAAACAGAAATAGATAGAAATAATATTTTTGTTCTTGAGAATGAACCGGTTCAATTTATATGCTGGAAAATGGAAAAAAGAATAAAATTTTTTCTGTTTTTTTGTTTTCAGACACAAAATGAGAAACAATTGTTTCTCTCAATCACTCTCCACCACTATCATCATCACTATCTTGATATGACCATCGTCGTCGTACCATCACCGCTGTCGTCACCACCACCACCACGATGATGCCACCGCTACTATCATCACCATCACCATCGTCCCGCCACCATGCCTCTATCACCACTATTGTCATCATTGTCGTCGTCACTGCCGTCACCACCACCATTATCATCACCACGCCACCACCACCACCATCATCACTACCATTATCACCACCACCACTACTACCACTACCACGCCACCGTCAGTCACTATCACCACAGCACCACCATCATCACGCTACTACCGTCGCCGCCACCATCACTACCACCGCTACCATCACCATATCATATGAAAAGAAAAGTGACGATCCAAATTTTTTTGTATGTTTAATAGGAATGATTTTTTATTTTATTATTTGTTGTGTTATCAAACACAATTCTCATTCTCGGAATAAAAATAAAATATGTTATCAAATATAATTTTTTTTAGAAACTGTTTTAAGGCACAGAAATAAAAAAGAATTGTTTATTTTCAGAAATAGTGTCAGAGAACATAATGATTGTCATACACACCCTAAATACACGTGTAAATCTAGGCACGAGATTGTGGGACTGCAGCAACTATCGAATATTTCTCCAACTAATTAATGGGTTTTTCATATATAATTCCATCTTAATTTTGTGAAAACTATATATGTTTAACTAATCCATGTCCTGTGTTCCAAAAAGGTGGGAGTTGTTGATTTTTTAATTGTACGAAGAGGGTAAAGTTGATGAGAAGGGAATTGTGATTTTGAGTCTGTCATACATCAATTTGAAAAGCTCTAACCACCCTTCGTTTTCAATTTATCAATAAGTACCTTTAGAATTCATGAGAGGCCTTCAACATTACTAACAGTCTTCGACATTACCAGTGAAGTCTCGTCTTATGTTGAGGTGAAGCAACTTGACCTTCTCTCACTATTGTCTACTCTTTTATCTATTCTGATTTCTAAAATCTTGGTCAATATAACTAGATTGGGTTCACAGTCAGTTCCAGCCATTGGATTTTCTCCTTCTTTTCTTTTTTTTCAACTTCAACAAATCCTAAATAATGACGTTTTGTATTTCAGCGACACCTAATATATATCTAATGACGTTTATGCTACATAAGCGCATGTAAGATCACTCTGTTAGTGGTTAAAACAGAGTTAAGCACAAGAAAAATCTGATATCATTTAAATAAATTACAAGACAAGTTTAAAATAAGAAAATTAACTAATGAATTTAAAAATTAAAATAAAGTTTATGATGCGCATTTCGTCAATACTATATAATAATTTGTCGCGTAAATTAAACAACCCTAAACATCACATATTCGCAATTTTATACTGAATAATTTGGGTGCCTTGAAAATTTTCTTGCTGGGAGATTCCACCAATCAGCATGTAACAACAATACTCATACGGCCTTCAGCCCTTCATGCCACGTGAAAGAACCACCTATGATTGATTCTGCAGGCCTTCAGCCCTTCATGCCCTTCATTTTCATGTGCTTTCCTCTTTTTCTGCTCTGACAAATTACACTCTCGTGAGTCGTGATCTTCATCTGGATTTCCTATTTCAGTTAGCAGATCTTTTAGCAGGTTTGCATATTCTCATAATTATACGCTTCTCGGCTGCATATGATAATTAAAAAATAGTTATTTATCTCCTTCAACATGAGATAAATCAAATTTCTACATATATATATATAACAAAGGTGGATCTCATCTCTATTTTTTTTTTCTCTGTAATTATTTGTGAGTCTCTCTCGTGATTTTATTACACTAACATAAAATAACTTATCCGGCAAAAAAATTTATTTATTGCATTTTAATTAAATAATTACATATTTATTGCAGTTTTGGAAATAATTACGGATCTATTGCACAATGTGACGCTTTTTTTGGGCGTCACATGTGACGCCTCATTTAGGCGTCTCTCACCAAGGGAAGACGCCCCAATGGGGCGTCTCTCATGAGGTGTTGACACGTGTCACTTCTCTCTCCAAAAAAATAATAATTTAATCATAAAACTTATGAAGGCCATAACTTTTGACTCGGGTATCCAATTCAGGTAATTCTTTTTTTGATTCCACATAACTTTTTGAGATCTACGCAATGACATCTCATTTGATATATTTTATTTCTCACAAACATAATTTAAATTTACAAGAATGGTATTATAAGAGCGTTTAAATCCACAAGCCTCTGAGTACTAGATTTGTGATTTAATATAAAAAAATAATCCAATTCAGGTAATTTTTTTTTTGATTCCACATAACTTTTCGAGATCTACACAATGACATCCCATTTGATATATTTTATTTCTCACAAACATAATTTAAATTTGCAAGAATGGTATTATAAAAGCGTTTAAATCCACAAGCCTCTGAGTACTAGATTTGTGATTTAATAAAAAAAAATAAAGATTTAGTTTGTGATTTAAATTTAAAAAAAATCACATTTTTTTAATTTTTAATATAAAAAATAAATAAAGTTTTGGTTTGTGATTTAAATTTAAAAAAATCTAAAAAATTATCATTAATAAGGAAAACAAAATAAAGATTTGATTTGTGACTTAAACTCAAAAATCAATTTGAAAAATCTGTATAATAAAAAAATAATTAAATAAATATTATAAATATCTAAGTAAGAAGGATTTTATTTTTGAAAACCATTCAAAAGCTATAATTTAAATGGCTTGAAAGAAAAAAAGTCATAAAACAGAAGGATGTAACTTATGATACCGTATGATTCAAGATACGAAAAATCAACCAAATGATACACAATACGAATTTCGGTTCAATAACATTGTACACTATTTTTTTTTCAAACACTTGGTTTTGGTGTTGATTCGGAAAGAACTAAGAGACTTTTAGGTTTAAACGCTCGTATAGTACCATTCTTGCAAATTTAAATTATGTTTGTGAGAAATAAAATATATCAAATGAGATGTCATTACGTAGATCTCGAAAAGTTATGTGGAATCAAAAAAAGAATTACCTGAATTGGATACCCGAGTCAAAAATTATGGCCTTCAGAAGTTTTATGATTAAATTATTATTTTTTTGGAGAGAGAAATGACACGTGTCAACACCTCATGAGAGACGCCCCATTGGGGCGTCTTCCCTTGGTGAGAGACGCCTAAATGAGGCGTCACATGTGACGCCCAAAAAAGGCGTCACATTGTGCAATAGATCTGTAAATACTCCCCAAACTGCAATAAATGCGTAATTATTTAATTAAATTACAATAAATAAATTTTTTTGCCTAACTTATCCCCAACAACATAAGAAAAATATTTTCATTAAAAAATCCCGAAAAACTAGTTTTATGAAAGTATCAATAATGTGGATGTTGCAGCTTGAATATGATTATCTCTTGTAAAGCAAACATGTGATTTATTCAAAAAATTATAAATAAAAGAACCAATAATCATTACTATTATTATAATAATTATTATTGAGTATAAATTTGTAACTTTAAAAATATTTCAAATTAAAAAAAAAACTTAAAATATTATATAAATTTAAATAAATTATGATTTAAATTTCTATCATCAATAAATAAAATTATAGTTTACCAAAAAAATTATATATAAATGTTTTTCTTTATAAATATAATTATATATATAATATCCATCTGTGATAATTACATAAAAAATTAAGTGAGATATGTATTTTAAATTTGTGAAATCCATCAAGGAAAATAACATATACTAAAAGAACATGTTGATTAATTAATCAATTCATATATATAATGATTGAGAGAGCAATTATTAAAAATCAATAATAAAAATACATTATAAAATTTCAATCAATAATAAAAATTTTAATTTTGCACATGTTGGAGTTTTAATTTGCCACAAGATAATATCTATTTGCAACATTTACTGTTAAATTATCTTAAATATAAATTCTACACAATTTTCCATTTTAACTTACCTCGTGATAATATGTTCTCACATTATTTCGCTTTCAGACTTTTATATATGTATTATATTATGTGACATACTTTTTTTTTAGTCTCGTATTCCTCAGCCAATAGTTGAAGATTAATTCTTTCGAGCATATGGATCACCAAAGTGAGTTTTGTCTCTATTAACAAAGTATTTTTCATACACACAACTAGAGATCGAATCCCTATCATGATAGGGACACACAAAGAGATGAGTGAAGAGAGAGAAACCGGTAAGGAGGCGAGAGATGCTACGGCGGAGGAGGAAGATCTTCTCCATCGAAGCACAAAAAAACCTAAAGGCCCTGCTATGGAAGATCAACCTATGGATGATCACATGGCAGAGGAGGATATCCAGGTGAATGTGACTAGCAACGGGGGAAAAAAAGAAAGAGGAGTCAGGTGATTCATCTAACAGGAAGTTGGTGTCATATAAATATTCTCTTCTTGGTTTTAATTGAGGACCCCATGTTGCTGATAGCGATGCGGAAGATTGGGTAGAAAAACTACGTAAGGAAGAGGACGAAGAAGAAGAGGATGAGGTCTTTGTTATGGTTGATGGTGATGAGGATCCTCTTTGCCCAACGTACTCTTTTCCAAAAGCCTTGCATTTAGAAGGTTGCAGACCTTGGAGACAGGCAGTGATTGTTAAACTTCTGGGGAAGAAAGTTGGAGTTAGATTCTTACTCAATCGTTTACTGAGAATGTGGAATATCTCAAGCACATATGAGTTCATTGGTCTGGAGAATGACTACTTTTTGTTCCGATTTTCCAATAAGAATTATTACTCTCATGTTTTGGAGGATGTTCCTTGGATCATAGCTGATCATTATTTGGTAGTTCAACGGTGGCGTCCATTTTTTAATCCTTATGATGATGAGATCAGAAAGCTGGCAGTTTGGATTCGTATTCCAGGACTTCCTATTGAATTCTATACCTCTCATCATTTGTGGAATATAGGTAGTATTTTTGGTCGCACATTAAAGATTGATAGGAACTCTATCAGGAGTTGTGATTCTGGTGAAGGTGATATTACAGAGAGAGCAAAGTTTGCTAGAATTTGTGTCGACGTTGATATTAGGAAAGGCTTTTTGCCCAAATTCCGTATTACTGATCGTATCTTCCACGTTGGATATGAGGGTCTCCACTTAGTTTGTTTTGCTTGTGGAAAGTATGGGCATAGAAGGGATCAGTGTTCCCATAGTAATCTTCAACAAGATATTACGGCTTATTCTTCTGAAGTTTCTGACTCGGTGGTGCATAAGCAGCCGGAAAAAGATTCTATTTCGGCGAAGGAGGAACCATTTGGGAATTGGATGCTGGTGCAGCGTAACCGTCGATCAAGGAGCATAGCACAATCAAAGGAGGAATCATTACCATCGGGTAGGAGACAAGTTGGCGTTGTTAATAATGCAGCGTTACGTAATAAGGCAGTTTCCAATTCTCATCCTAATCACAGACAAGTCATTCAATCAGGTTCAAGATTTCAAGCTATTGCTGAGTTGGCTCAAAAGGATAATAATATCTTAATTATTTCTGATTCTCCAGTGATTGATTCAATCAGCATTGAATCTGGTCTGACACAAATTAATCATGGGGAATTAATTGCTCATAATGAAGAATCGTTGGTGAAAAAGGATATTCAAATGGAAACAGATTCTCCATCTGCTAACCTATCATCGGGCAAGCCGAGAAAAGAGGTCCAAAGTCAAGGAGTAAAATTCAAAGAGAACCAAAAGAAGAAAGCAACTGCATCATCTGCTAAAGTTCATCAGCTGGTCCAGAATGCTAATATTAGTAAAGGCAGATTAAATGCTTCAAAATGTGCAGAATCTCAAAAGAATAATTTTAAACTTGATTCTCAGAAGAATATGTCGGAGGATTTCCAAGATAAACAAATTGTCTTGCATCCTTCTTTATCTAAATTCCAGAGGAAGACGTCTCATGTGGTTAATGATCAGCAAGAGACTCTTCCTTCTTCTAGTGGCTTGGATAATGGAGGTAAACATGGAAGACCACCAGATGCTCTTACGTTGATGAGGAATTTTTATCAAACTCACAAGGATTCTATCCCTTTGGATAATTTGGACGTTTTGGGTGCGACTTCGGTATATACCAATGCTCTTTCTTAGGACCGGTTTCTGTTCGGATAAATTTAAGATTGTTTTTATGAATATTTTGACCTGGAATTGTAGAGGGGCTGAGAAAAGGGGTTTTCCGCCTCTGATTCGGGATCTTTCTCATAGATACAGTATTAAAGTTATGGCTTTGTTAGAAACCAGATTGAGTGGTGTTATGGCAGATAGAGCTATTCAGCGTCTTGGTTTTTCTGGTCACTTTCATCGTGATGCTGTTGGTTTTTCTGGCGGTATTTGGGTGCTTTGGAACACTGATGAAGTTTCAGTGGATGTTCTGTTTTCTCATCACCAACTTGTTCATACTAAAATTTGTTGGGTAAAAGAAAATAGAGAGGAGTTCATGACTTTTATTTATGCAAGTCCGCGAAGACAGGAACGTATTCAGCTGTGGGAAATTCTATCTTCACTGTTTGATCAGTCCATGAGGAATGCGGCTTGGGGGATAACAGGTGATTTTAACACTTATTTGTATGAGTATGAGAAGCTAGGTGGTAATGGGCATAACTGGAATAGCATGAGGGAATTTTGTGATTCTTTAGATGAATGTAGCTTGTCTGACATTGGCAATCAAGGTCCTATTTTCACTTGGCAAAGAAGAAATCTTCAGGAACGTCTTGATAGGGTTTGCGCTAATGATAATAGGAACTTGGTTTTCCCTAACCGTGTGGCTTTCAACTTAGTTTTCTTTGGCTCAGATCATCGACCAGTGTTATTATGGGAAGGTCAACCTGCTATTTATCCGAGAGGGGAGAGTCCTTTCCGTTTTCTAGCGTCCTGGTAACAGAGAGCACTTTTCATGAGGTGGTTAATGGATGTTGGTCAAACAATGTAAACTGGATGCATGCTATGGAGACATTTCGGATTAATGCTTCAGAATGACATAGAAATGTTTATAGGATTGCTCTAAAAAGAAAGAATGATTTGCATGCAAGGATTAAAAGTATTGATAGATGTCTTAGTTATCAGTACAGTCATAGCCTTGAGATGTTGCAAAAGGATCTATTGAGGGAACTAGACAAGGTTTATCTTCAAGAGGAAATCACTTGGTTTCAAAGATCAAAATTGAATTGGTTTGCTCTTGGAGATAGGAACTCGCGTTTCTTTCATTCTGTGACGGTTGCCAGACGTAGGAGGAATCACATAGATACGTTGAAAAACTCGAAGGGAGTTTGGATTGGTGATCAGCAGGTTTTAATGGAAATGGTTGTTTCTTTCTTTGAAAATCTGTACACAAAAGATCCATTACCTAAATCGGCTTTTCTAGTTCGTGGCTTTTTTCCAGTTATTGAAGCGCATGCTTTAGACACGATGAGTATTATGTCAAACAGTAAGGAGATCAGAGATGTAGTCTTCTCTTTTGGTCCATACAAGTCGCCTGGGAAGGATGAGCTTAATGCTCTTTTCTTTCAATCTCAGTGGGATAAGGTGGGTGAGTCAGTTATCTCTTTTGTGAAAGGTGTGTTCCTTCATCCGGATAATATCAAAGAGGTTAACCAAACTTTGATTTGTCTAATTCCTAAGATTGATGTGCCTGAATTACTTAAAGATTTCAGACCTATTAGCCTTTGTAATGTTATTTACAAGACTGTAACTAAGATTGTGGCTAATAGGCTGAAATTTCATATGGCTCACTTGGGGTTGGATGACTATCAAAGTTGATTTAGAAAAGGCTTATGACAAGATTTCTTGGGAGTTTCTGAAAGACACGCTTGTGGATATTGGTTTGCCTGAGAATATTATTTCTCTGATCATGTGTTATATCTCGTCATATACAATGAATTTGTTATGGAATGTATCAACTACGACAGAATTTTCTCCTAATCAAGGTCTTCGTCAGGGAGATCCTTTGTCTCTTTATCTTTTCATCCTTTGCATGGAAAGACTTGCTCATTTGATTAATGTAGCAGT